TTGCATCAACGACCTTTTGCCATCTTTCGGGTAGCTTGCGAATTCCTTAACGATAGAAGCTCCGAGGCTTCGAAGTGATAAAGTCATCAATGCATTTTCGTATCTCTTCAAATCTCACGAAATGTATATCAGCCAAATGATGCTGCAGCGACCGGAATAGTAATCGGAAGGCGCCATGTTTGGGCTATACGCCGCGTGCGGGAGAAGTTCCCAGCCTAACGCAAAGATATGGTCCTGAATCGCTTTCGCAACATGTCGAGTATTGTTATGAAGCAAGATCACTTTACGACGTCCTTAGCCAGTAAATGGCCTTTTTTCTTCTAATGCATCGCTCAAATTGGTCAATTGTTGTTGGTAGCGGTCTGCCGTGATTGTTTCACCCGGTTGTAACAACTCGTAATACAACACACCTTTCCAATCTCACCAGATACAGAGCAAAACCTTCTTGGCGTCGATATTGGGCTTTGGCGTCGATGTCGAAGGTTGACCAGGGTCAACCCATGATTTTCTACGTTTAGGGTTATCATAAAGAACTTTCCACTTTTCATCGCCTGTAATGATTTTGTGCAGAAAATCTTTTTTCCGGAACTTTGAAAGCAAAGTGAGTGCAGTGTCACGCCGATGATTTTTGTTGTCTTCGGACAATTCATGCGGAACCCATCTGCCTTCCTTTTGAATCTTTCCCATCGTATGTAAACATACGGAAATGGTTTGCTGCGTAACGCCAAGCTGTTCTGCAAGCTCCTTTTCAGTTTGCGCAGAGTTTAAATCCCAGCAGTGCTTGCAATTCGTCCGTTTCAATCTTTTGAGGGCGTCCAGCACGCGGTTCATCTTCAAGACTGAAATCTTCTTGGTGAAATTTTTGATATCATCTTTTACATGTAGTATGACTTACAGCGTTCTCTCCATATGCAGCACAAATCATTGCAGTGACTTCAGCAGCATTTTTCTTCAGATGAAACGCGAAGTGGATGGAAAATCGAATATGCTCTTTTGTTATTGCCATCGTGTACACTATTGATTTTTGAGGTTATGTGCATCAAATGCCAAACCATATGGCATTTTAGAAGGCAAATGTCAACGCTTTAAAACCGCAAAAGGGCGAAGATATATAAAATTTAAATTGTTATTTCGGTTGTATAAAATCTAAAGCTCAGAACTTTTTTGTATATCTAATAACTCTTCGTTCTTAATTTATTTTATTTTTTCTCACTAATCACATTTACTAAACACTGAACTATTTATTAATCAATATTCAATATTCATTCAAACACTAAACATTCCTATTTATTTTCTTTAAGGGTCGACAGGAGACACCATGGAGATCTCTCACGGCTGCGAATTATGGATTCGCTAAAGCATTTTAACCAAATTATGGTTAAAATACAAAGAGAATCATGTAAAAATCGTGATATTTGTAATCAGTAGAATCATTAACAGATCGCTATAGAGCCATTTTTTGGAAAAAAGATCGAAATAAAATTTAACATAACGTGCAGATCGTGTAGCTCTTCGCGGATCAAATGCAGTTAGCCTACTTTATTTATTATAAATTGTTGAGAGTCAAAATGCAAAGTCCGGCTCTACAGCGACCTGCATAGTTATATAAGTATATATAATATTTTAAAAAAAGGTTTTATTAGACAGCTTCTCCGAAGAGAAAAAACGTTTTAGCGGATATTACTAGATTTATATATATATGGAGAAATTTCAATGGTAACATATTGATAGCTTGACAAAGAAAGATTGTGATTGTGCGTCCTTGTCTCGCTTATACTTTGCATATATGTGATATCCGTGTAATATACATACCAATATATTGCGCACATGGATACGACTATGAAAAGAAAACACAAAAAGAGGCTATCAGACTATCTTTGTTCCGTATATGGTAGAGGAACAAGGATAGTAATAGTTATTATCTGATATCATTCAACAATTGTATACATAGTAAATTATGAAATTATTGAATTACAAAATATAAATATATTAAAATAAA